GATGTGGTTGGGTGATGTGGCGTTTCGTGGCATTCGGGTCATGCCTGCAAAGGAAAATGTATTGTCATCGGGATTGAACCTACATGCCAAATTGCAATTTCCTACAATGAAAAGAAGTGGTGTTCAAGAGTTTTAGCGTTATGCAGTATTGTTGGACGCCGCCGAACAAACATAGGCATGATACTATACGAGGTATTTGAATAGTGCTGGGGTCGCAAGCGAATGAAGGATCCTTTGACAGTGGATAGATGTTGTGTGATCATTTTTAAATTGTGCGGAAAGTAGTTTTATTTTATTTTGGTACAATAGATAAATGTTGGGATGAGCACTGGACATCGGCATAGCAGGAAATATGTTATAACGATGTTGGATTCGGCGAGGAGATTGACAAGTGATTATTCAAGAATATTGGTGGAAAAAAAAACTGTTCAATAGTAGAAGACTGGAGGTTAAGAGAATTGTAATCGAAGTGTAGTTTCAGTATGTATAAATAAATAGATAAAAAAAAAAAAAAAAAAAAAAAAAAAAAAAAAAAAAAAAAAAAAAAAAAAAAAAAAAAAATTGTAGAAAGAGAACTAGTTAAGTTGTACTTTCAAGCTTTATGAAACCTCCCGCATTTATTATTATAATATCAATAGTAGAGCGTTTAGTGTCAATACAAATTTGTGAATGATCCACAGGAGATAGAATAAACAACATAAGGTAAATAAAACATACTGATTATTATATAAGATATAACTATAGTAAGTTTTATAGCCGTTAAAGGTGAGTTAATTAACTTTGAATTCTTGAATTTGTTTGTAAACCAAGTACCTTTTGGACATTATTTTGTCTGGCAGGTCGAACTAAAATCCATTATTTGTCTATCGTGTGATTCGATATTTTACAGCTACTCCAGTTTTTTAGTATAGTTGTTTAGTTTGATCCTTCTACCTTATACGAGATGCACTTATCTACTGAGATGGTGTACAAGAGAGAGAGATTGGTGTTAATAAGAGACTTTCTGCTGTGATGGCGAGTATTAACAGATTAAACTGGTGCTCTGGGCCTAAACTTAATTCTCCCTCGATTTTCCTCCAATTGACTTCGACTGTCACAAAGACCGACAGGAGAATCACACGTAATAATACCGATGCAAAAACGCATCACTCTCAAACGGCAGGGTATGTGGGTTGAGACAAAAGTCACACGAGAGATTATAGAGCTATAATTTGGCAGGACTTTGACAAGCGTCAAAAATGACTAAAATCCTAAAATCTAAAGGCGAGTTCATACCATCGGGCGTCCGTGTTTGTCGTTCATCGTTCTGCCAAACCAATAAAATTGAAATTACGATCTGTCATTTTTTTATAATAAACCAATAAAAGCTGGTAAAAAACAACAAGACACGACGACGTATGACGGATTTATATTTTAAACCCATCCATAGATAACTTAAAAATAATTAGAACTTTTTTTATGTAAAATTAGAATAGATTGGTATGGACGGTCATCTGCGTTTCTTCTGTCATCGTCTGTCGAAATCTTACCCTGAGAAAAAAAACAGAGTTAGTACATACAAAGCAAGTTAAATAAAGGCTTATAAAAATAGCCTCAAATGAGGAAACTAAATAAAAAAGAATGTCACTTGACATTAGCAACCTCCCAAGATAAGATAGATCAGCTCATCGTTTTGATATAATATACTTTTGAATTGAGAGAGTAATTTGAATTTGAATTGAAAAATTAAACAGAAAATATTTTGATTATTTCCCGATAGATTATTGTGTGGCACCATCATGCCCGCGGCGCCATCCCCCCACCCCCGTTCAGCAGCCGCACATACCGGAAAACCTTTTCCCCCATTACCATCAATAAAAATAAAATTGAATAAAAAAATGAAATATATTTCTTTGTTTGAATCTTTGTAAATGTCAGAGAAAAAAAATCGAATTGAAAATCGTTTCCGTAATACGGCCATACGCGCCACCGGTGGAGGCTATGCATCGACTGAATGAGGCTGACTGTCGGTCACTTAATTCAGTTAGCGCATCGTCGGAGCGTTTTAAATTCGAGCGTGGGATAAATTGGCGAGTGTCAAAGCTTAGTGTTATTTGTATAGCGTGGTAATAGGGTGTCCATTTTTTATAACAAGAAAAAAAAAAAAAAAAAAAAAAAAAAAAAAAAAAAAAACTTAACTTTTTAACGCATAACACGTCGTAACATAAGAACCACATTCGATATTGAACACTTTTTTTATTTAGTTGTTGAAAGTGATCGTATGCTTTACATATGTTTAAGAGGTAAGGAAAAAATCGATAGGTGTTTTTTTTTTCCATTCAAAATTAACCACCCATCTTTACTTTTGAATAATAGCAATTTTTCAGCAATCGTGTAACTTTTTTTATTCATAAAGATTTTCAGATACTTGCCTGTCGAAGAAAATTAGCGAGAAATGGTTAAGAAAAGGGTTTTGAGAAGAGCTACAAGTCAATTATTGTCTAATTAGATTGGGTCGAGATAGTCGATTTGAATTCAGAGTTTTAACAGCGCGAGCCACGTTCGAACACTAACTCAATTCCACTTATTTTCCAAAAAATTCAAGTGTTTCTAACTTGCACTTAACAATTTTCAAGCTATAGTTAGGATAATGCGGCGATAACAGACGATATCGTTTAAGGTAAATAGAACAAATATGTGTTTTTGCGCCAACTATCCTTTCGAGATTTCGAGCCTTCCCAAACACCCACGATTTTTTTTTCTGCATACTAACTACTGGGAACAAACAACAATCATAATAAAAATGAAACTTCTACACCCTGTATCTGCGAAACTAAGCATTTTCGGACATACATTTACACAAACTTTTTTACTTATTTTTATCTGTAGAATATGCTGCCAAAGTTTTCGGAATACAGTTCGGGTCACCCTGTATAGTAAATCACTAAATAAAATATAGATGTATTTAAAATAAAATATAATAAGTTGACTGGAAAATGCTAAAAAGTCCAGATAAATTTTCATTGGCACGTCTCTGGATATTTTATGAATGAAATCGGCCATGTTTTTAGAAAGCTATGTTCCCCTTACCGTTGCCCCGTTGTGTCATCGGTTTATCAGACTGTAATGTTTGTTACAAATTCGTAGGTAATGTTTCATTAAAAAAATATATAATCCCATTCACGAAAGCTGATAAATAGACATTTACAACCGCCAGAGTGAGGCAACTTTCTTATTGTCTTAAGACTGGTGACGACCCAAATCCTCCTGGCCCAAACAAGGATAGGCGAATTTATCAACCTGGGGCGCTATTCTGTACACGGCATCGACAATTGTCGGTATCGGTAAGTTACGACAGCTCTCGATACGTATTTGTATATAGTAAAAATGTGTTAATTGTTGTTGTCATAGTTACCGATCAGAATCGCAAGTTTGTACCGACGAGGATCGGTATCTCTACCGTGCCCTTGTTAACCTCACGGTAGAGATACCGAGAGTCGTCGGTACAAATTTGTGATATCTGCCATAGGAACGATCGGTAACTATGACAACAACAATCAACACATGTTTACTATATACAAATACATACCGATAGCTGTCGGTAACTTACCGATACCGACGATTGTACAGAATAGCGCCCCTGGATAACTGTTACATCAAACCAAATATAGATAGACATAGGAGAGGATCATTGGAATATTCAGTTCGACACAATCATCATCTTTCCTGAATTGGACTATATAATTTTTTTAAATCACCTAATATACAGGGTGTCCCAGAAATAAGTGCAAGTATTTTAAGGGGTGGTAGTCCTCGATAAAAGAAACATATTTTCTCTTTATTGTTTTTCAAATATGTCCAAAATAACGGAGTTATTTTACTTTGAAAATTTCCAAAAAAATGATTTTTTGCTAAAATTTCTTTTCTGGATTTTCTTTCTTGTAAATTTAATCTACTACCTATGTTGCCATATTATCAAGAAATTATTTTTTTTTAAATAAAAACTAAAAAAATCCAAAAACTTCAAAAAAATACTTCAAAAAAGTGTTTCTGAGGTTGAACTATACTACCAGTTAAAATACTTGCACTTATTTCTGGGACACCCTGTATAAACACCCAGAAATAATGTTTAGGATAGAACATTTCATGTAATAAAAACATATTATTTTTTTCACCTTAAGTATTGTGGATGTCTCTACCATCTCCAGCATAAAAGTAGACAACCCTTTGAGTTGGCAGTCGTCTGCACCAACCCTGGCAAGAATTCCGTCGACTAGAGAGATTTCTGCGAAATCGCAAGGTACAAAACAGCCAATATGGGCCATAAGCACAGCTACACCTATAGACCTAAAAGAACAAAAATTATTACTTACCTCCATAATACCAAAATTCCTTTTTTTTTTTTTTTTTTTTTTTCCACAATAAAGGGGCCGCGTCCTCTGCCGGAAACACTGCATTACTGTGAGGTCTATTGTGTTTGTCCCCTTTTTATATCTGCACCCATTCTCCTATCCCTGTGCCCTGCACTAACTTATGCAGGTCCTTGATATGATAGTTCCTCCGGTTCTAGCCTAGCTTTCTCAAATAAAAAGTGTCGCTTGCGATCCAGAGCCTCGCAGTGACATATTATGTGCTCCGCTGTTTCAGGATCTTTAGCGCAAAGTCTGCAGCAAAGACTTCCTTGATACAGATTGAGCTTGTTCAGGTAACACTTGACAGCCATATGTCCTGTCAAGAGGACTGTTGTAATCCGCAATTTATTCCTGCTAAGCATTAGCAGTTCTTTTGCGGTTTTGGAGCTAGGTCCTTGGATAAAAGCCTTGCTGTGCCTGTGCCCGTGTCGGTTTCTCCAGTGGACATTCTGCTTTTTCCTGATCCAGAGTTTTAGTGCACTACGGGCCATACATTTGGGTATTCCCAGTACTGGCTCTGGACCAAGATAAGATGCCGATGATCCTTGCCTAGCTAGCTCATCGGCTTTTTCGTTGCCTTGGATGCCGCTGTGGCCCGGCACCTAGAATAATTTAATTCTGTTCCGTCGAGCCATAGCTTCCAGTTCACCTAGGCATTCCCAGACGAGTCTCGACGAACCTTTGGGCTCATAAGCGCTCCAAGTGCCGCCTGACTGTCTGAGCATATATTGATGAGCTTATCTGAATAAGCTCTTCTATTGTTTTCTCTCGCACATTGTAGAATGGCGAAGATTTCTGTCTGGAATACGGTTGAGTGTTTACCCAAGGAAAATGATAAACTTGCCCTTGGTCTTTCCCCAAATACTCCAGCTCCTGTTCCTTCAGCGGTCTTTGACCCGTCTGTATACCAGGTTAGTCCATCCTGAAGGAATGTTATATCTGTCCACATTCCTCGATCCATTTTGTTTACCTCGAATGGTTTGTGGTAGTGATAAAGAGGGGTCATTTGGTCCGATCTCATTTGGAGTAGAGGTCCCTCAATAGGATTTCCCATCTTTGAGTGTCCTGTTTCTGTCCTATTTCCCAAGACACTTTGTTGTTGATAAAGTCCCATTCTTGCCTCCGCCTAGATCACTATGTGAAGAGGCGGAAGGTCCAGAAGCGCCTCCATTGATGCAGTGAGCGTTGATTTCATGGCCCCTGTTATGCTCAGACAAGCAAGTCTTTGCACCTTGCTGAGGCTGAGCATTGTTGTTTGTTGCATTACCTTAGGCCACCATACCAAGGATGCATATGTTACTGAAGGCCTCACTACTCCAGTGTACAGCCAGTGCACCATCTGTGGTCTAAGGCCCCAGATTTTTCCATGAAAGCGTCTGACTACCGCTAGTGTAGTCACCGCCCTCCTTGTGACATTTTCCAAATGTCGGTTCCAGGTCAGTTTGGTATCAAGCGTGATTCCTAGATACTTGACCTCCCCCGAGAGAGCAATCTCATCGCCGCAGAGTCTCAGAGGGCCTAGTCCCTCAAGTATTCTGCGCTTGGTGAAGAGGATTATTACGGTCTTTGTAGGACTAATATTTAGTCCCTCCCTGTGTCACACCATAATTCCACAATCTTCAAGGCCTTTGCATTCTGCTCCCTTACTGTTGTGTTAAACTTACCTCTGACTAACACGACCAAATCGTCTGCATATCCCAGAGTGTTGAAACCAGCCCTGTTGAGACTATTAAGCAGTCCGTCCATAACGAGATTCCACAGCAGAGGGGAGAGAACTCCCCTGCGGGCATCCTCCCGCCACCCGGACCGCAACAGTCTCATTTAGGAGGGTGGTATATGCCACTCGACTTTTTGAGCATGCAGTCTATCCACCTGCAGCAGGTCTCCTCTAATCCGAGGGTTCCTTGTAGCTCTCGTCAGTGACTGAAATGAGGGTGTTATCAAACGCCCCTTCTATGTCGAGGAATGCCCCTAAAAGCACTTCTCTTGTTTCGAACGTCGACTCCACTTTGCTTACTAGCTGATAGAGTGCCGATTCGGTTGATCTTCCTGCTGTATAGGCATGCTGGTCTTGGTGAAATGGTCTTTTCCCCCATTATTTCATCCCTAACATACCTGTCCATTAGTTTCTCAAGAGCCTTTAGTACGAACGACATAAGACTGATGGGCCTAAAGCCTTTGCCGTAGAATAGTCCAGACGCCCATTCTTGGGTATAAAGCTACCCTGGTCAGCCTCCAAATTCTCAGTATATATCCTAAGGCCAGACTAGCTCTTAGTAGTGTACAAAGTTTGCTCGTCAGTAGAGTCTGGTCCTTTCTGGAGCATTATTGGACAAATACCGTCCGGTCCCGGTGATTTGTATGGCTCAAATGAGCTTATAGCCCATTTTAACTTTGATTGGTCAATCACCCTTTTGGAAACCTGCCAGTCTTCCCTTGAGGCTCTTCTCGTGAAGTTCTCAAGTCCACTACTCTTCCAGGTTTCTGGGGATTGTCTCAAGGCTGTTGATCTGGGAAAGTGTGCCCGAAAGAGTTCGGTCAGCGTCTCTTCCCAGTGGATAATGTATTCTCCTGCACTAGTTACAAGAGAGTTAATTGAGGTCTGAGAGTCCTTAGAGAGTATTTTTGAAGTCTGGCACATTCTGAGGTACTATCAATGCCCTCGCAGTACCTCCTCCAAGATAATCTCTTTGCTCTCTTCAGTTCCTTGTTATATTCGGTCAAAGAGGTCTTATATTCCCCCAATCGCCGGATCTTTTGCCCTATTCCAGTTTTTCCTTACCTGCCTTCTCCTTGCCTCTAGCTGGACGGTCCAATTATTCCAGGTCTGGTTGGTCTTGTATTCAATTCCTGTGTGGTCCCTCTCAGTTGAATCTCTGTGTGAATGGATACCCCACGTCTAGAATTGGCTTGCCATAGGGGAATTGCAGCAGGCTTCGCCTCTGGGGTTTGTGTCTGTGCTTCCCCAGAAGGGGTGTGTTGCCCAGTTTGTGGCTTCTGACAGTCTGGGGCAGTTTTCCTCAAAGAAGATCTGATCGCGTCAGTCAATTGCTCCGCGACCAGTTCCACCTCAGTCGCATTCCTTACCATTGATTTGATACTCGTCAGTTTGCTAGTTAGGTCTGCCCCAAAGGCTTCCCAATTTGCATTCCGAGGATCACGGTAGGTTTCTACGGTCCTTTGTATTCCCGAGATTTCAAACCTTATGTGTTTGTGGTCCGAGCAACTCTCCTCCTCTGACACACTCCAGTTTTTATGAAATTGCTAACAAAGTGGTGGCTAATTTAGATCTATAACTTCCTGCCTTTGTGTGGTCACAAAAGTAGGCCTGTTACCTTTATTCATTACGTCTAAATTATTTGCCATAAAGAATTGCAGCAGAGCTTCGCCTCTAGGGTTTGTGTCTGTGCTTCCCCAGAGAGTGTGGTGCGGATTTGCGTCCGAGCCAATGATCAACTGAGATCCATTTCCTCTGCAGTACCTCACTAGCTCTTCCACAGTCTCTGGTGGTGGTGGATCAGGGTCATCGAAAGGAAGATAAGCCGATCCGATTATAATGTCCTTCGGCCCTTCTCCGTTCGTTTTTATGTGTACCGCTGTCAGATCATTGTTACAGAATTTTAGTAAGGGCAGTACTTTTATGTGTGTTTTAATTAGTATGCAGGTCCTAGGTCTGTCAGAGGTTCTACTGTATATAAGTTCCACCCCGACTCCCTTGAGGTCTTTTATTTGACCCTGGTTTATCCAGGGTTCTTGTATCAAGGCAATGTCACAGGTCTCCATTACCTTACAGAGGACAGCCGTAGCTGCCCTACTGTGGTGCAGGTTCGCCTGGACGACCCTCATTTCGAGACTCAGCGCCCTTCAGTGCCCGGAAGAAGACCCGTCCGAGCTTATAGTAAGCCTAGAACTGGGTCTGCTCAAGGGCACTAAAAGACGCTAAGTCGATGGAGAAGGCGATGGTTTGGCCATTCTTCTCCACCTTCCTGCTTAGTGTAAGCCAGTCTCCCACATTCAGGCTAGGGTTTTGACGCCCAAGCCAGGTACTGACTTCACTTTCCTCGACTGTCTCTGGTATCCAGACGAGGACTTTTGGTCTCTTAAGAAGGTCCTTAGAGTTGACCGTAGTCAAGTCCGCCCCTTCCCAGAGATTGTTTAAGCCGGCTACAGTATGCTGCAGCCATTCTTTGGTGAGGTCGTTGGCACATGAGATCCAAAGAATCCCTCCCACGTACCTAGTTCCCTCAAACTGCGGCGGACTCTGGCTCCCTGAAGGTGTTTCAGTCAATGCCGCCAACAGCCTCGCTTGAATCAGGTCCGCTTGCTCCTGACTCAGTGTTGTCTCGGGATGGCGTCTGGAAATCACCGCCATCCTAAGTTCCCTTGAGGCGTCACTGTAAGAAACACCAGTCTGCACTTCCGTGCTCCTGGGTTTCTTCCTCAGACTGGCCACAGGTGGTGTAGAGAGTCCGAGTGCGGTCTTTTTTTTGCCCGTACTTTCCTCCTTTTTCTTGGCTGGAGTGGAGCAGGTTGACGGTCCGGGTTTGTCCGTTTTCCCTCCTCTCTTTGCCCTATATTTCTTAGCAGGGTTCTCCCTTGTCCAGGTTCCTTCTGCTATTTTTTTAGCTTTCAGGATCCTCTTTTTCTGTGCTCCTGAAATTCTCTTGTTCCGCAGGCCTATGTTTCCAAGTCCTGTGGTTATATTTGACACCTCGGCAGGCTGTTTCTCACGATCCGCAGACGACTCTGCCCTCGTTGTACTTGGCCCAGCGTCGGTGTCTGGTTCTGCTCCAGAGTCTTCCCTTTCGGGATTCTCCGGAACATTTCTTGAGGAGTCACTCATTTCTGAGTCCTCCTCGTTCGTTTTTTTGGTTTTTTTATGTTCTCTGTCCATAGTTCCCACGAGTAGGGGCGAAAGAAGGTCAACGCCTGCAGAGCACCCAGTGCAGACGCAAGGCATGTTACTATGGGAGATTGCCCGGTATCCCATAGGCTCCGTTTGAGACACCCGTTTGAGGCACGGGTGCCATTCATCCATCGGCACGGATCGCGTGACACCTTGGATTAGCTTGTGTAATGTGTGTGTGTGTAAGTGTATGTATGTGTAAGTGTGTTAGTGAGGTGTGCTTTGTATTCTTCTTTGTCTGGCCTCTCCTCAGAGACCTGTTCGGCATGGGAGACCCTGCCAGTAGTTACCTACCGCCGACATAGCCCTCTGAGTCATTGAAGCACACAAGCCCCACCGGTCCGTCAAACCGAGAATACATAGGTGGTTTGTTTTGAGTATCATTTTTTCGAATATGTCAAACTCATTGACCAAAAGACTAAGAAAGGAGTCTCTCAAATACTTTTTTTATATTCATACCTTTCCTTTTCCGTCTATACAATAGAGTGTTTATACAACCATATTTTAACTCAAAATCAAATTTAAATTTTATAGAAAGCAAAAATCTTGAATAAAAATAACTCACCTAATGTAAGTACTTTTGCCTCCCATATTAGGTCCGGTTATGACAAAGAAGAACTTGTCGTTCTTATCAAATTCCGCGTCGTTTGGAATATAAGACACGTGTTCTTGGTTCTCCAAACATGGATGACGGACTTTGCTCAGTTTCAGAACGCCTTCTGAAGCAGGTTTCAGAACTGGACGCCTGTAAGGAACTCTGGCAGTTACTGACACTGTTGCAAAAGAGCATAGGACATCTAACATGGCTAGGATCATGTTCAGGCTTCTTACTGAATCAGCATAACCAACTGAAAATAGAATAGTTATTCGTGACTCCACTTTAACTGTGATTTTTTTATATCCTGTTGTATGTATCCTATTTACTCTAGGCATTACATGATAAACTATATTTCATTAATTAAACTTTTAGTTACGTAATCAAGGGCGCGATTTTTAAATTCATTGTTGCCAACCATGGACATATTCGGAGCCGGCGCCGTGCTGACTAACTGGAATTTAAATTTCGCGCTGGGGATTCACGTGGGAGCTCTGTTGTAAAAAAATGTCAAGTTGCCGCATTTATTTATTTATTTCCTGCCATTCATTTGTTTTGACACTTTAGTTTTGTATTACGAGTTTTTGGTTTAAATGAATTGTGTTGTTTAAGCTGAAAAAAAAAATGTTACTTTAAGCTGAAAATTGTTTACTAGCAGACCTTGCAGTCGAACATTGTTCTTTTTAGAACCTCTTTTAGTGCGAAGAGTACAAGATAGCTTAACAGCCATAAAAAAAACACATCGCAAAATTATTAAATATTCTGAACAGGAAAGCGGTAGCACAGATTATACAGATTATAATCTTTGTTTTCTTTATTGTTTCGTGGTTCCAATTTTCGGAATCGGGCACTAGTTAGGTGACTAGTTTGCGCACATAGCACGCCCACTTATGGCCTCTAAAATTGTGCACAGCGCCTGACCGGCACAGTTATTAGAGAGATATCGGAAAACCCTGGGAAAACCGAATAGCGTCATCCAGTATTTACGCGTACCTTATCATGGTTACGATATGCGCGAGTCTTTGGCGCGAGTCAATTTTTAACGCAACACCCGCTAATAACGTTACCGCCTGACGTAATTTGCGGATCAATTACACCAAGCGCTCTTTCTAAATAACCTCTGATAACGTTTAAACATTGCTTAAATGGGCATGTGCGGGTATTTGACAACCGGAGCCGGCCGGCGAGATCTTTTATTTTAGGTTATGTTTGAATTATTGCTTTAATTTTATTAGGTAATTTGATATTTAAGTAGCTGCGATTAGTTTTAATTAAATAAATATGGCCCAAAATATGGATTCAACCTCTTCCAATACTAAAGAACCTATAAAGAGTCTTAGGTTTACAGCAGATGACGACTTAGCCCTTCTAAGAGAATTTGTTGCTTGTTGCCCTAAACCCACTGGCAGACGTTGAACAATAAAGCACTGAAAATAACCACTTTAGCCCTTTAGTTTTAAAATACCTAGTAAACAAAACAATTTCAAAGTTTTAAATTCAAAGTTAGGTTAAGTTTAAATAGCGGACGCGACGCGATCAGAATTCTTTCCAATCCGATAACTATAAATTAAGAGAGTTAATACCACCTCACGTAAAGGAAATAATACCTGGCCTTATTAACGTCCATGCACGCTATTCGGTTTAGCGATATCTCTCTATTACGCTGTTTATTGTTATTTTACGCGAGTTTATTTTTGCGCACAGGAAATTTGACTCGTTTGCACATCGTCATAAAAAACAATTTTCGTACCACGAATTAGGGACAAGATTTTTATCTGTATACTTATAGGATACCTAATCTGTAGCGGTAGTAATGGCCCTCTATGTCCCTTAAGCGCTGTTAAGAAGGCCAGTTTGTTGGTGTAATAACTGTTTATATATTTATACTTAATTTATTATTGTTTCGTAAAATATTTTTTTGATTAAAAGAAAATATATAAAAGTGGAGCTGTGCCGGTCAAGCTTAATCACGTGACTAAAAGTTGATTTGGTAACTTGGAGACATACAACGAATGGTAAATGTGTCTTTTATGTGAATGAGAAACCCCACAAAGCAAGAGTGGCTCTTGGGTGTCTTCGTCAATGCGCCCTCTACAAATTACACTAAAATTTGTAAATGACACGGTGACAGACACCCGAAAGTAATAGATCACTTCATGCACCTATAATACACAATTATCTTCTACATTAAAGATAAATCAACAATACTACGATTGTTACGCGAGTTTTGCAATGGTGCCAAACTAAAAATTCAGTACTAAAAGTACAGTACAATTATGCAGTTTATATCTATTTCAAAGTTTTGTACGTGTATATTACTGATTATTAGACACTATATTTGACTGATTTTTAGGCACTCTATATTTGATTGATTTTTGACAGATATTTTAGTCACTAAATAAAAGTATATCAAAAATGTTAAAAGTTTCAACTACATTGTTTTAATATTTCCCTAAATATTAGGTATAAACCTTCAAAATAAAAAGTATAGTCTGTGAAACGAATAACTTTGAATTTGACAATTGCTGTCCTCCATTCGCGAACTGTGAGTTCCAGGCTTTACGCCCTGGGGCTACTCGAGAACGGTTCTGAAAGGAGCGGTGCGCGATAGCCTGGTGCCTCCATATGGCGCTGAACTGTTCTGGAACTTTATGACTCAATTGAATGGAGTGAGAGTATCGCGTTCTTGAACAGTTCAGAGCTGCTCAACTGCGTGAAAGGAGGACAGCAAATTTGACTATTGTTAATTTTATTAGGTTAGCAACTTGCGGCCATGCTGACGCAATGCCGTCTCTAATAGAACAGCCTCGGAGCGAGATTTATGACGTCACGCTAACATAATTATTCCTTATATTTGGCTGAAATCGTACTCCATACTCAATGTAGATAGTTTTAGTATTAAGAATAATAATTTTAAAAAATATGTGGTCATCTTTGGACAAGTGTATATTAGTTTATTAATTGCAGTAAACATTGTGTGGTGTGTGGTGTGAATATTTTATATGCAATTGTTTGGATTATATTTGACACTATTTTTTTTATATGACACAACACTGATGAAGGCTATAATGTTAGCCGCTGACGCATTTTTTTCTATGATATTGTATTATTTGCAAATATAATTTTTCGAACATTGATACTTGCAAAATATATGTATATATAAATTTTGTGAATGCAAATAATAATACATCACTATTAGTATATATTGAATGTTTTTTGTTAAATTAGATCGATTTTCAAACCCTAAAATTTAAAATATATTTTACATTTTACCCATTATCTTATGTACCTATTCATTATTTGTATATTGTAAAACATTTGCTGCATTTGTATGGTTCATAGTTTATTTGCCAAAGTATTTATTACTATAAATAGGTATATATATTATATTTATTAACTCTATATTATGTATATTTCATATCAACTATATCATTTTTAAAATACAAACCAAAAATACGAGGAATAATTATGTTTTCCATGTATTCTACAACATAATTATTAATCCGTAACTTAATTAGCGTGACGTCATAAATCTCGCTCCGAGGCTGTTCTATTAGAGACGGCATTGGTCTGATATTTAGAAATGTCAAAAGCTGATGACATT